AAAAAAATTGGGCGCAGCTTCTATTTTAATAGGCGTATTGACTTTACTCAAACTTTGAGCGAAGGTATCCCCACAACACTTGACCAAATTCGCTGAAATTTTTTTTATTTGAATTCTATGAATCCATAGAATTCAAATAAAAAAATTTTCAGCAAATTTGGTCAAGTGGTCGTGGGGATACCTTCGCTCAAAGTTTTTAAAAAAATTGGGCGCAGCTTTAATTTTGATAGGCGTTTTGACTTTGCTCAGACTTTGAGCGAAGGTATCCCCACAACCACTTGACCAAATTCACTGAAAATTTTTTTATTTGAATTCTATGAATTCATAGAATTCAAAAAAAAAATTTTTTAGCGAATTTGGTCAAGTAGTTGTGGGGATATCTTCGCTCAAAGGTTTTAAAAAAATTAGGCGCAGCTTCTACTTTGATAGGCGTTTTGATTTAAACTTTGAGCGAAGGTATCCCCACAACCACTTGACCAAATTCACTGAAAATTTTTTTTATTTGAATTCTATGAATTCATAGAATTCAAATAAAAAATTTTTAGCGAATTTGGTCAAGTGGTTATGGGGATACCTTCGCTCAAAGGTTTTAAAAAAATTGGGCGCAGCTTCTACTTTTGATAGGCATTTTGATTTTGCTCAAACTTTGAGCGAAGGTATCCCCACAACCACTTGACCAAATTTGCTAAAATTTTTTTTATTTGAATTCTATGGATTCATAGAATTCAAATAAAAAAATTTTTAGCGAGTTTGGTCAGATGGTTGTGGGGATACCTTCGCTCAAATTTTTTAAAAAATCGGCGAAGCTTCTATTTTAATAGACATCGTTAACATATAGTTATAATATCGGTTCAAAATTAACTTTGTATTATCATATACTAAAGCAGGTGAGACATTTATTAAATATAATTTTATATTAAATTGTCACGTAAAGCATATTCGAACCAACTAACTCTAACCTACCAACTAACTTATCCTAATCTACCAACTAACTAATCTAAACCCTAACCCTAACAACAACCAACGCCCTAACCCTAACCAACAAACAGTATAGAGTGTAAAATATCTCTAAAAAAACATGTCATAACAATCCACTACAATTTTCTAATGCTAACGTTAATAATACATAATGCCGGAACAGATATTAAAAATAGAGTATTTCACACCCTATACCGTATGGATCTGTTCATCTGCATAATTTAGAATTGTCCTTGGCAGCAGATGATAATTATATGAATAAAAAATTAAATGAGATATAAACAGCTTATATTAAATACTTAGACCAATTAGACCAATAAATAATCACTTAACTTATACTAAGGGTGCTTTCAATATAATTGGATAGATATTGATAAGTACTACAATTAATTCTGTAAATAAAGCGATCCCTACTGTAATTTTGCTGAAGTCTGACAAAAAAAAGATGGCTTCAAGCTTTTTTTATCACGATAATGAATCTACTTATCGGTTAAACTCCTTTCCAAGTTTCGACCTATTTATGAACTTGAGAGAACATTAAATCATATGAATAAAAATTAAAATGAAAGATTAATTAATACATAAGGGAGGCGGGGTATTGTGGACAGGGTGGGTATCTTACGATCTAGTGATCGAAATTGGGTGAATTTTATACCATTTGAATCGTCTCAAAGAGACAATTCAAATGGTATAAATTTCATCCAATTTCGATCACTAGATCGTAAGATACCCACCCTGTCCACAATACCCCTGTCTACAATACTTCCGCCTCCCTTATATTAACTGATTAAATAAGAAAATACTTAATTAAAATATCATATGAAAACCTGATTATATGACAAAGAGTTTCGTAGACCAACTTCAACCTATTGAAGATTTTTAGAGCCATTAACGCTTGTATAGCTTCTTTAAATACTATATTGCTTTAAAATTATTATTACTGTAGCAACGTAATAAAAAGCTTATCAATATTATTTATCACAACTTACAAATAATGTATCACCCGAGACCAACAAAGAAAAGAGTCCCAAGTATAACACAGTTTTCAGTAAGAAAACCAGGAGCAGCAAGAAGAGTTCACTGAAACTAATGATTATAAAAAGAAAAGTGATTAGACATGTAACGGCAAAGAAAAAAACACTAGCAGCACAACAAAATCTATCCCAAAACAAATAGCAGCAGCACAAAAAAGAAAAGGTGAAATGTAAAAATGCAACAAAAAAAAAAAATACTAGTGAAACTAGAAGAAAATTAAAAGACCTAAAAATAGCCACCTATAACAGTAACACGGCACCTATAATAACTCTATTAATGACAACTCCATTAATGACGACTCCATTAACAACGACTCCATTAACGACGACTCCATTAATGACGGCTCCATTAACAACGACTCCAACGACGTCAATTCCAGCTTCGGTCTCATCTAAAGAAAAAAAAAATTAGCCAAAATCAACAAACAAACAAAGATGATCTTGTGTTACTTATCTATTAGCATCCGGTATTGGTATGGCGATGTCGCTCGACCTTGCATCGGCAATTAGAAAAATACATGAGCTTTAGTCATGTGATTTTCTTGTTATTTAATTGGTCCAAGAGACCAGAGATATATAAACTAGGCATCTCTAGCTAGAGATGTCTAGAATTTTCCAAAAATTAAATATCATTTAAACAAAAAAGATTAAAGTTATTGTAATAATTAATTTTTTTTTTTTTTTTTTATAATTTCAGCAGTTTTGTCTTTACTTTATTAGGTTTAATAATATTATACTTTGAAATATTAAATTTTTCAGAGAGCTATTCTCCCTGACACCTAATTTACAAGTATCAGCTCACCCGGTTGTTCAATGAACACCTATGTGCGACCTGCTATAGTAAAGTTTACCTCCATATTGATTTACCCTGCAAATGAGTTCATCAATATTTCATCATATGGTACTTACGGCCTGTCAAGACTACTAATCTATTTTTTACCATTCCACCTTTTATCCAACTCAAAACTTCATTTTTTGCTATATCTAAAATCAATTCCCATCTGGTGTCAGCTTTATTCTTTTGTTTTTTCCTTCTATGGCTCTTATTAATTGGATATTTCTTCTCATCTGCCCTCATTTTTAATTTCTTTTTTCTTTGTTTTCTCTTGGTATTTGCATTAAAACCATGTTTTTCTCTTCACATTATACTGTTTTTTTTCTTCCAAATCTGTACTAATTTACATCTTTTGACCCAAATTTCTTCATAAATCTTTTTCATCTAGCTTTTCCAGAGCCTTACTATAAAGTCTCTAGCTTGTTCAGTTCTCTTTGTAACCAGACCTCTTATCCATCTTTCTCTTCTTTGGAGCTCGGCAATGAGGCTTTCTTTTCAGCCAGGTCTTGTACTTTTTTCATTTCTTTCAGAGTCATCTTTACTTCTTGCTCTTCAATATCTTGAATTAGCTTTATTAACACTTCACAGCTTACTAAATGTTTAATACTTTCTGTTTTCTTATTGCATATAATATATTTATCAGTTTTGTATATTCCAAGTTTTTTTCGATTGAGCTTTTCAAATACTGGTAGAACATTGTTTATGCACTTTAAATTCGAAGAGCTGTATATTATTTAAACTACAAGTGTGATTACGCTGCTTGGTTCCACTTTCCAAGATTTTATAGAAGATTGGCCAATATTGTAAAGTCGCTCTTTCTTGATGTGTGGTATTTTGACTACTATAGAAGAACATCCATTCTACTCTATTTATAACTTTTCCAAACATTTTAATGAAAGAGCATATCGGTTTTTCTATAACTTCATTCTCCCATTTGTATCTTAGTTTAAATTCTTTTGTGTCTAGTGCTGTGGGAAATAAGAGCTCTTTAGAAATTGCACCTTCTTTGGCCTTGAGATCTGCCAAATCATTAAAAATATCTCCTGAGTGACTTTTAATTTTTGTGAGATGTAGAGTTAGCTACTTTGTTTTTACTACTTCAACTATCGTTGCAATCAGGCCACTGTTCTTGATCTTAACTATTGTCTTGCTTTGTCTACTTCAAGCCCTTTTCTGATTGCAAATATGGCTGCACTGCTATTAGTTCTTATTTCTACTTCCTTTTCGTTAGGTGTTACTAATAATGCTACCAGTATTACTATTAACTCTGCTCTTGTTGATAAGAACCACTTTTTGGTACTACAAGCTATTTGACATAGGATCTGACCATCTTCTGTAATTTGTACAATTCCACAACCCATTTCTATTTTTGTAAGACCTTTTGATATTCCAAATAAGCCATCTGTATAAAAAAACAGACTATCTAAAGCTTCATTTTGTTTTAAAACCTCTATTAAACTACTTCTAAGTGTTCTATCTACGATTATTTTATTTATTAAACAAATTTTCCACCTTGTACAACCTATAACTGGTAACTCCTTTTTCTTAACTTCCAGTATTTTTCTTATAGTTATCACCTCACTCTCTACGTTTTTTCCTAATACTTTTTCTAAAGAATGTATACTAAAGATCAATTGTAGACCACTTTCTAATTTTTGTACTAGGTTTGATATATCTCCTAGTTTCCTGCGTTTTACTGAGATGAGTGCTTTATTTTCGACAGTTGTAGGAATTTTTGTTCTATTCCTAATTGTAGTTTACATTTAACTTAGGTGCGTTTGGATTATTTGTTTCAAGCTTGTACGTTGGTTTGACTTCTCTTGTTATCGGGTCATCAATCATTTCTTTTTCTAAGGCCTCAAACCAACTTGCCTTTTCCCTTTTAGAGTGAGATTATTTATCAGCCTGATTTGTTTTCAAGTATATATTGATTTACTATCTTTTGTTAGGAGCTGCAATGATAACCAAAATTCTTTTCTGCTATTGTTCGTTTTTTTATAGCAAAATTTGACTTTTTCTAAAACTCTTGAAATTTCATGATCATTAGCTATTTGAAAAAGATTCATATCCCATCTTTTTGTAAAGTTACTATCTTCTATTATGAAACCTAAAGATTTTGCCTGCTGCAGAATTTGCACACCCAGATTTCTTATTTTTAGCTTTCTTTTCGCTAAAAGCTCATGATTTGTTAGGATACATTTGGTTGAGCCTGTCTTGAATTGACCTTGTTTTAATCTTATTACTGTTGATTTTTCTAACAAACCGCCTGTATTTAGTCTTACTATAAGTTCTGAAAAATGGTGTTCTATATGTCTATTCTAGAGACTTTTGAGGTTTACTATCTCTAGATGTTTTGTTATCGCATTTGCTGCTGTAAATAGCATTGACATTTTCCATTTTGTAAGACAAATCATGAGTTGATGTATTCTATCACATTGAGCTTTGGTCAAACATGAAAGCATAAGTCTATACTCTAGTATAGATATGAGAACCACATTGTTTATATATATAATTTAGCTGAGCGATATTTTCTTGTACTTGAGTAATCCTGTTATTTTGTTTACTTCCTTTTTTGCCTTATATATATCTGATCTTTGCTGGTTCTTTATTGAGATCCAAACTCCAAGAAAATGTGATGACTCCTTTAAACTCTTTGCCAAAATCTTTGTCTTTGGGTTTCCAGCCCATACGAATAAATTGTCTACTATTCTTTTTTTTCCTGGTTTCACTACTACTAGCTCAGTTTTGTTTAGATTTATCTCAATATCATTTAGTTCGTAAAATTCGTTTGATATATTGATCGTCTCTTGCATACTTTTTTGATTATATGTCACCCATGTTGTGTCATCCGCGTATGCTAATACTCCTATTCTTAGCTTTTCACCTTCGACTTTTCTGTTAATATCTATTATTTTATCATGTATTTCATAGCCTAATTTTGCATCTTGAACTCTACATAGGAGTGGGTCATAAAACATTCTCCAAACCAAAGGTGACAGAACCTCCTCTTGGTTTATCCCATCTCCTGCTTCAAATAAGTCTGTATTGCCAAATTCTGTTATAATGCTAAACTTTCTGTTTTCAAAGAGATTTAATATAAAATCTGAGCTTTGGTGGGAGTCTAAGTCTTTTTAGGGCTTTTCTCAATGCTACCATGTTTACTGAGTCGAAAGCTTTCTTCATATACAATCCAAAGTTCTTTTTCTTCTTCTAATGCTTCTTCGATTATATTGTTCATAATGTGCACTAGGGCTACTATATTTTCTCCAGAATGCCTGCAAAATTTGCTTCTTTTAATATATTTTTTCTCTTATAACTTTGTCTAACCTTACTTGTATAATTCTGGTTAATATTTTTTTACACGTTTCTAGTAAGTCTATAGGTCTTGTATTACTCAGATTATACTCCTAGAAGTTGCCCTTGGGTATCAAATATAATTGACCTAATTTCCATTGTTTGGAATTTTACCGTACTTCAAGATTTTGTTTATGAACAATATCACTCTTTCTGTTGCATTTGCAGATAATTTTTTGAATAAAATATAACTGATACAAGATATGTCAGGTGCCATTTTATTCTGTGTCTTTTGTAGAGCTTGACACTAATCCTCATTATTAATTAAACTTAATATATTCTTGTACTAGTTCGGGTCTATGTCTTTTTTTGGCTCATATTCTTTTTGCCACTCCTGGCTCATTTCTTTGAATTTTTGTTTTCTTTTTCTAAATTGGTTTTGAAAGTGTGAGATTACTTGCTGCTTTATTTCACTTTTATTATTAATGAGTTCTTGATTTTGGTAGTAAGAATCTTCCAGAAGTACTCTATCTAACAGAATTTTGTTGTATAGTCTGTTTAGGAGACTTTGCAGCATCTTTTTTTTTCTCTTTTCATTATACTAAAATGTTGTTCTACTTTGAGACCAATTTCTTTTTTCTTTTCTTCTACGTTCATCCTCTTCTGCCTTCTTTCTTAGTACTTTACCTCAGTTTTTTAAATCAGATACTTCAACCTGGCTCCAAAATTTAGGCATAAATGGAATTTGTGTTTAATAAAGTTAATTTATATTTTCAATTTGTGTATTACAGTGCCTGACAAAAGTTTCTCTGCACCTATATCTCTTCATAGAGAGGTGCTACAGCCTTGTAACTTGCAAGAAAGTTAACACATTAAAAGTTTAGATCATATGCATTTTTTGAAGATTTTTTAATTGCTAGAAAAAATTTTAGATGAGAGTTAAAGTTAGAACAATTTTTTTAAAAAAACAAAAAAATTAATTGAATTCAAAGAAAATTTAATATACTGTCAGG